CGAGGAACCCATCCGTACGATTATTACCCTTGGGACGCTTCTTGAAACCTGCCAATTCCAGAAGTTTTGGGAAAGTTATGCGGAAAACAAAGATGTTGTTGGCAACATTTCAGATTGGACCAGCTCTGTAAGAAGCTGTGAGTTGTTCTTTTTTGTTCAGATTGAGATTCACTGAACCACATCAGATGCTTTTTACCCTAAATTTCGTGAATTGGCTTGATAAGCCAGTAATGTTCCCGCTTGTTTTCCCATACTTTTTCCTACCGCATATTCTGTGTCCGACGATCCACTCTATCCATATTTACTGACCTCTGTTTTATTACATTATGTCTCCTGCTTAAAAATGTTTGGTTCCTATCACTTTGCGATCGGTTTTGCCTTAGGCCGATGTTTACCCTCATTACTTCGGGGAACTTGCAATCTTGTTATTATTTAAATGGCACATGCCCTCACTTCATCATAGTAGGCTAAAACTCTCAGTTATTTAAAGCCAGGTTTCTGCAATGAGCAGGCCAGTTTTCTTACTCTAGCTATCTTTGGGATAACAGATAATTTATTTGCCTAATTGTAGGTTGCTTTTCCTTTTTTTTCGCTTTGAGCTGGTTTTCTCCTAAGTATTTGGCATCCGTAACTATAAGTTTTTTGTTGTGGGGAAGAGCTGTTTTTGTTCCGTTTTTTAAGTTGAGTGAAATGAGAAATTGAGAGTACCTTTACTGTTTGTTCAAATATTTTCATTTCGTCTCTTCTGAGCATGAAGTGAATATCATTTGCAGCTTTTGGATTGTATATACCGTGATTATGTTTAGCCTCTATCCATTGAAAATCCTCACCTTGCACCAAAAAAAGTTTTAGGACTTGCTAGTTCTAACCACTACTGAGTAGGTGATGAATGGTACCTCGTTTGTTTAAATTGCGCTCTTTCCCTTTTAACTTTTGTGCACGACTGATGGAGTAAATGATCTCCTTTATGATGCTGGTCATCGGGCATGTGGCCGACGTCAGATTGGTGTGTTTAAGTCTAAATTTCAAAAATAATGTCACCCAATGTCTCGCCATTCTTGCCAAGCCTTCATTGGTCACATTCTCACCAGACAAGTTAAACTTCCTTGATTCCACAGCGGAAAGCATATTGGAAAAGCCGGTAACTATTTTGGCCTTTGTATAAACGGTTTCACAATAATTACGCCAAGGAAGTAGTAATTCATTCGTAAAATTCCATAGGCCAAAGTCTGCTTTTGAAATATAGTTAAAGTGGTCAGTGTGAAGTGATATGTATTACTTCCATTACATCTAATTCTAGTTTGCATTTTGTGTCTAGTACCGTTTCAGCATACATTTCCCTCGTTATACTTCATTTCTGTGACACTAGGGTTCTGATTCCTCACCGTCCCCAAAAAGAAGAGCTAAAAACTTTTGAGTTTAAGGGTTGGGTGTGCCTTATGCCTAAAGGGCCCTCTAAATAGCTCCTTTCTTTTTACAGTCATTGCGTATGTAATCGATACGACGTACGAGCGCATCTCTAAGAGCCTGCTAATGGCCCTGTTAGACATCAAATCGAAGGGGGAGCTGACTTCTGTGGTTGAAACGCGTCATTGGAAGCTGCTACCTCCCTCATCGAAGGAGGGGGAGGGAAAGGATGATGAGGAGTGGATCTTCATCACTAACCACGAGGCTTCAGTGAAGTCGACCAACATCAAGGAGAAGGTCACCTTCGACGCTATGGCACGCAGTGCTCACGCCTTTAAACCTTCTGTCGGCCAGTTCTTCATTCAAGAGCCAGATAAACAGACCGCATGAATGGGCGCTGGTGGTTTTGGTTGGGTCATCGGGCGACTATACAATAAAGCTATACCTTCGTTAATTTGTCGGCTTGAGCTGTCTCGATCCGTTTTTTGAAGTGGTGGGTTGAAGTCCCTTTTTAAGGATCAGATAAAAACACTCAGGGCAGTTTGAGTCACTAGGAACCAGCTTTACTGCCATTTCTCAAGATCACTTTGTTGTAGGTGGTGATAGTTTTAGTGAGTTAGCTGTAGCGGTACGTTTCTGCATCGGGAAAACCCCAATCGGTACTATTGGAAGAGCTGCTTTTACTATCGCCTTTTAACATCTGAGGCTTCTGATGCATCTTTGCAATGGATGTGCACTCTCCGCACTTTTCCGATGAAGTGCAACATTGTCGTTCTCACTATATGACTGCAGTTTTTTTCGAAAATCCAAGCGAAGAGCTTTGGGGAATTGCGATATCTTCCTGGCTTCGTAAGCTGCATAGCCCACAATGAAATCTTCACTCTGTGGTACGTATTATGCAGGACTCAGGTATTTTTTGGCTGGTAAGTTGCTAAAAGTGGTAAAAGTTGCCTTCGGTTTTCGCTCACTGCCTTGTGTGGCCCGTCCACAGCGTCCCACATATTCAGACAATCCAGCACCGGGAAAGTAGTGAGTCCAAAAATCATTATCAACGCATAATAACGGCAACAGATGGATCATCACATGAATGTGATCCGTGGAATAAACTGCCAGTTGCCACGTCTTTGTCGAGGTTATAGGTACGGTGAGTAGAGTAGCAGCCAGTGCCTTAGCGTTTCCGGACTTGCAAAACTTTCATTTGAACGTGGCTAATTGGCATCCAAGGCGAGCAACAACAGCTCATTCGTATCTTTCAACAATTTTCTAAGCCTTTTTTAGTGTGGTAGGCATTTGATACCCAAGGCATTGTTTCAGAGGACCACTAACAAACTGAACTTCCATTCATCAGTGTCATATTGAGGAAGTACGATGACCTTTCGTTCTTTAGTCATAAAAAAAGCCAACAAAGTCATACCGCTAAAGAAAATTTATTTTTAACGTACAGAATGGCCGAAAGGCTGTAACCATGACCAGTAGACCACATCGTCTAAACTGAAGTAGAAACCGCGCGGAGAATGATGAGTCCGATGGGTTAAACATGGCAGAAAAACCACCTCTATTCCAAAAGGCAAGGCGTTGACGTCTTCATGTGACTTTCTAGAGTCAGTTGAATCAAAGCAACATAAGACAAAATGAAGGTATAATTATAAAGCACGTATCTGCCAAATAATGACAGCTGTCGGGCAAACATACCTGATAACTGGAATCCCATGTCACTTTCTGTGATTGAAACCAGTAGACATGCATCCGCTGCCTGGGTTTGTAGTAAAGCCACTTTCAGAATCGTAGGCCTCGCAACATCTGCAGATCCGACCCGAGGGCTACAGTGAGATTGAAAATGCCTCGCAAGCGTTTGTTAAGCTAATTAAATGAGAAGTTTGATGCAACCTTTTCAGCATCTGTCATCTAAATCTGTTCGACTTAATTCCGAGCCATGAAGTTCATCTAAGTGCATGCGATGCCTATTTTACCGTTTAAAAGATGCTCACCAAAACATCTGAAAACCTTAGTTTTCGATATTTTCGCACTAGAAAGCCCTCTTTCTCATTTTTCTGACCTTCAAAATAAACTACACACCTATCCTTTTTCAATTCCTAAGCTAATTATTTGGCTCAACCCTCTTGGGGCTGTCAGATTTTAGGCTAGGAAAACCAGTTGACCTTGCTCTTTAAGAACGTACGTGTTACAGAAGACAATCCAGTGACTATCGTGTGACTTATCCTTCAACCTGGGTCGGTTTATTGCTACACTAATAGGATAGGGAAAGGAAGGCTCGGAGAGGGAATAAGTTGTCAGAACGACTTCCGTGCTCCATATTGGGGTTATAACACGCCTTGTGCACACTTTCGCTTAAAACACAGAAAATCATTTGAATAGTTCTAAACGAGTCTATCAACCAGCATAAGGATAGGATATTGCACTTCTCTAAAGTAAATCACCCTAAAACTCATCATTTTAGTAGCCATTGCCTCGATCCCAAAGCAGACCATGCCTTCCTATCCATTGCATTGTTTTGATGGAGCTAAGTAAAAGGCAGGGTTGGTATTTTCATCTAAAAATGCTAATCTACCTCTCTTTACGTGTGGTAAATGAAGTTTTTCCCCCATAGCCCATTTTCTTACTGATAAACCGGCTATACTCCGTCAGAGGAAAGACCCACTCTGCCTGCCTTTAGAAGTAGGTCGGTCTATTGATTCATCAAAAGGGGAGTTAGGCAGGGACGGAATGCAAAGGGAAGACAAGCGGACATTGGAAAGTAATGGGAAGGAGTGGAGTGAGACGACAGTGGCGGCGGCAGAGAAAGACGAGTTTCTGGCAGAAGAGGGGATGGAGGGGGGTTATGTCAACGACGCCCAAGTGAATTGAGACTTGGGACCAACCTGGAGACGCATCTCATCCACCACCACCTTGAGGAGACAAAACCATCGTAAGATGGGTCAGTAGAAAGAAGTATGGCTGCAGCACTGGGGTTAAAATCATAAGAAGCTCAGCCGAAAGACTTCTGTAATCAGCAATAATAATGGTTAAAATGCATTTTTCTCTCTAAATCAAAGGTAAAAATTCCACTTTGGAATCAGCATTCAGTGACATTCACAATGATAAATGACTGCTTTTATAGTACCCAAGGGTTGGAGATGAAGTAAGTTTGAAACATCCCCAAATACGCACAGGTAAAGGAGTTAAGAGATAAGCAGAACTCCCACAACCCCAAAAGTAGACCTGATTGGTAGATGGCAACAAAATGATTTCAAAACCAACCTCTTCGTTAAGAAGGTTACTCAAATCCACTCGATATCGGTCAAAGGCATCATGCATTGCATTATACTTTTCCGGGTGCACGCGCAGCATTACCGATCGGTACCGTGTTAGAAGCACCAGACAGACGGTGAGGAAATCACTAGAATTCGTCAACCAAACATTGCCATTTGCGCACATAACCAAGCAGTCATAATGCTTAATTGCAATAAACCCTACAAGAAGAGGCGTTTGAGTCGACTAATCTTCTCTGGTGGGTGCAGTTGGGACCGTGAGGAAGCGAGAAAAGAATGCGCGTAGGCCATCGGTCCCTGATTTACAGTGGGCAGCAGAGCACCCTGCAACTGCATATCAAGCAATAGGGGCACTCTGCATTCCCCCTTGGCGGTTGTCTCTACCCAGCTTTCACCGATGTCACCCACTGGAGATGCACCAGTAGTTACGCATACTCCTCGTTGATTCTTTGTCGTCGAAAGATGAAGAGCTGTTGAAAACAGTGAAAACCGTTAGAAGTATTCCGCAATCCACAGCCAGTGACTGATAAATGGGATAGACGCTTACCTGAAACGTTAGCACTTTCCTGAGGCGCACACGGAATGTGGGCGGTCAGTTCTCGCACTTTAACTTGAATCGCGTCGATTGCAGCGTCCAGAGGGGACAGATCGATATCGCGGCTGGAGACAATTCCCAGACGCGAGCGAAGATGTGGAAATACCGCTTCCGTAGTCAGTATCGTGCGTCGTTTCCACTGCGCGGTCAGATCGTCCGTCCGCTTCGGTCCGGAAGACAGGAGACACGCGTCTGTAGACATGCCTAGAAGGACAGTAAATTTCACCTGCATATCTCTTATTGATAGGTCCACGCTCTAAACTACGAGTTTTTCAACCTGGTTGCATGATGAAGGGCGTTTCAAAAAAGAAGTCGCGGACATCGTGGTGAAGGTCAAAGGAGGTGCGGTGAGTGGTGATGTCTGTAGGCATATACGGTTCCACGAAAGTAACCTGAATGTAGGCCTTCCCAGGCGAGAGCCTGGAGGGATCGATGTGATTTTCGGTCAGCTTTTCCACGTGTCCAACACCAAGACGTTCTTCATGGATTCGGACTTGATTCTGCAGAAACACATTGATATTTTGCCATGCCTCCGTTCGATAGATATAGGACTTTCCCGCAAGACTTTCAAAACTCTGTGTAAAAGATGAGGGCATTAAAAAACACAGAAGCCAAGTCCACTTTTCGCAAATAGATTAACTGGCAATTGGAATGACACTAATGCGTTCAATATATGAAGGGAAGATAATTATATAAGAGGTAATGAGTCTGGGAGCTTCTGGTAGGTGAATAGCGTCCACAAGACCATAGTCAGTAATGAAGCTGGAGGAATGCAGCGAGAGAAAGTGGATGCAGAATGCTGCTTCCGTGAGTATCTACTTTTAAGCATCTGTTCTTACCTGGAGTGAGGCCCTACAATGGGGTTAACAAAGAATATACAATCCTAGCAAGATACATCACCGAGGTTGAAGAAACCAACGCACAGCCAAAGTCCCTAACTCATGGGTGGCTTTTCGCGTACTGACCACGTTGTGATAGTCAAAGCAGAAGAGCGACCATAGGGAGAACCAAGGGAGGGAGTCATGTATCAAAATGATGTTTGTTTAAACTGTGCAATCTGAGAGGTTTCGACTACTATCCCGGCAGATTAATATGACGCTTATGATTTTACTCGTAACGGGCGACCAACCCATCCGTACGTCAATGCTTATTCCGTCCGCCTTCAGAGCACTCTTTAAACCCAAATAGACACAGAGGCAGGGGAGCAGGCAGACCGGAGAAGCATTCAGAGCTAGACAGTGGTAAATTGAGGGATTATAAGGCAGACACAAGGCCGACGGAGACAGAACTAGGGATAAGTAAGGCCAGAATGGAAGGGCAAAGAGGAGAGGCCACTCACTTTCCCGAAGAAGGTGACTCGGAAGTAGGAGGCAAACAGACGCTGCCCAGAAGCTTCAGCGCGTGCCGTATTCTCGTATGCACGGCCGAGATGATGGTAGATGCGCGCCAGCGCCGTATAGTCCCGTCGTGTCTCGTACACCGGCGTGACAAGGGCATAAACAGGTTGCAGGGCCTCAAACAAGCCTGCTGCCTCCAACGCTGTTGCCGCGTCTGCCACGTCGCGCAGCAGATCCTCCTACCAACGCCACAGTTAATGTGAGACTTGACCTTAACTCACGAATCAGTAAGTGATATCTTTTATCCATCCACATAAGCACCATGTCTAGCAGCCTTTTGAGCCCAAAGAGGAAATTATTCCCCTGTGGCAGAAATGAGCGCTAAATCTAATCAATGCCGCAGTCTACATTCAGACATTAGAGTAACTTACCGCGAGAAGGTCCTCCATGTCTTAACTAGACCCTGATCCTCCGCACACAAGGGACATGAACCAGGAGAAAATAATCAAGTTTTTTTGATCAAAATAGCCCTGAACTTGAGTTCCCCAGTTTTCTTCATTTGAATCCTCATGACTCACATGCCTAGAGAGTCGTTCAGATGACTAACTACCTGCATGTTAGAAGCCAAATCGAGGCATCAAAGTTTTCGAATAATATAGTGAGAGGAATTTCCTGATAATTACGAAAAAAAGTTGAGCGGCTGATTTCATAAGATAACATGATGCTTTTCAACCGATAGCAGAGGTCATTTGATGACAAATTCCAACCCAATGAAAACTTAATCCCACCCAAAAAGCCATGGAGAGGTTTGGAAAAACACTATAAACAGGCAAAAACACCTGGTTGTAGGAAAGTTCAATAATTGCCGGATCACAGAGTAGCGAGCCTTCTTCCAGTCGAATATTCGCTGAAACCTTGCAGAAGGCATCACAGCCTTTGGGAAATTCACCTTGAATAGAAAAGAACACAAGTTAACATCACCAATACCACTAGTACTGGTTCCAACTCAGTGTTTTGCGCAAGCAAATCACAAATCATTGATTAAAGTCATCTAGCCAGCTCATCGTGTACTCGTGTTTTTAGTTCACTTACGCTCCAGTAAACCTTAACAAAGTAATACAAGTAGGCAATGAATGCAGTTCCCAAAGATCAGCTACCTAAAGGCATTTAAGCGGCAATAACGACTCACCCCTCCTGTTAAGGTAGTCAGCCATGAGAGCAGCAATGTGCAGCTTGGCCATAGCCACCTCAGCCATATTCTTTGAGGCCAAATGCAACTCAGCCAACTTTTCTAGCCACGTCCTACGAAGTTAAATGTCATCAGGACAAATTTCGCCCACGTTTTATGAATGGACAAAAGTTATGATGAGACGCACCGTCGAAGGACAGGATTGCTGGCATACGACTTGGCTAGGGAGTACTGGAGGTCGATTTTACGATAGAGATCATTACCATACCGGCGCATCTCTTCAGTGGCAGTGAGTACGGTACGAATACGCTTGATGAGATCCTCAATGCCCTCCATGAATACATTAGCAGTTGGACCGCAGAGCGGGGCCTGCAGCAAGGCACCTTGACTTATCGACCGGGCGTAAGTTGATTCGATGCCACTACCGTTACCGCCGCGCTGGATGTCCATCTCTGCGAGGCTGTGAAGAAGACTCAAACTTGCTTCGAACTCTGGACCGATGTCACCGACCAGTTTGGAGAGGGAGATGATCAACTGTGGACGATGAAGAGGGGAAAACGCAATCAATTTATAAAGCATGAAGTGATTCTAGTGTAGATGTGGCGCCTTTATGCAATGAATAGGTGGGTGGATTAAGCGAACAATTAGGTTGATCTATGAAGAATTTCTTCTGCAGTGTATTGAAGTTAGCTTTAACCCACCATTCACTTAGTCGACTAATTGATAAATCATGCTTCATGAGAAAACAAGCTGATAACAAAGATAAATTCCCCCCCCCCCACCCCCCCCAAATTAACATATCTGTCAATTAATGGAAAAAAAACCGGAAAACAACTCAAATGAATTGAAGAAAGGTTGTTTCAAGGATTGAAAATCAAGGACCACTTGTCACCAATTTTTCGGCTGCATAAAATATCAAGCACTACTTCACGAGGGGCTAACTGCATATTAGCCACTTTTTACCTGCAAATGCACCCTCTTGAATCCTTTCGATTCAAAGGCTTCAAAACTGGTCCGCCACATGTGGTAGATGAGACCACAAGCCTCCAGTCGAAGAATGTCCACATGGACTGCGCTGGCTTGATCAAAAGTGCAACGACTACTGTGCGACGACAGGGTGATGGCAGAGGTGCCGACGACAGGGGTAAGAGCGGTAGGCGATTGACCCCCTTCTTCGTCGGTGCAGGGTAGGAGATTGAGGTTTGAGGTACGCAACCCCGCCATGCAGATCCGCGCCAGTGCCTCCGTAGTCTCTGAGAAGAGCACCTAGTGTGCGAATGATAAAGTAATGCATATATAAGTTCCCCACTGTAAGATAATCAGGAGTTCATAAATGAAATAGCACTGTCTACGTTCCTATGTACCTTGGCGAAACGCGAGATAAAGACGCGAAGCGAAGCGAAGGTGTGCTTGAGTAGGCGCTCCGATTGGCCAGTCGAGAGGAGACAGACATAGACGTCAAGTATACCTTGGAAGACAGGATTGGAGGGCTTTCCTGTCTCTAAGTCCCTCTAAATAATCATCATAAAGGTTATTTCACAATTGAGGACTCAAAATAATTTACAAACTGGCAGAATTAGCTAAGCAAAACAGAGGAAAGGGAGGAGGACTTACTCGAAAAGTGTTGCTCATTAGGTTGAGAACATCCAGAACAATAAGACCGGCCTCGGTGGCCATATTCGCTTCCAACAGCACACGATATTCTAAACATAATTTGTAAACAAAACGAACAATTTAATTCACTGAGATCCAGGAAAGTGGCGTTTAGAGGACGCGTAACTCTCTCCTTAACTGAGGGAAACAAAATTTAAAAGCAGTTATAATAGGTATGTCCCATGGGTCCCAAGTGTGAACTCGGGGTACCAAAACGAGTTGCTTTAAAGCAACATCGAAACTGAAGTTGGCCACGAGCGAAAGGGCACTTACCACTATCCAAAGTGGCAGATTTTGGCGGTGAACCCAATGTTCCACGCTGGGTGACTGAGCTAGTACTAATTGTACTAAAGGGAGCACACAGAGATACAAGTTGCATTATCAAGATCAAATCAAAGGGAAAGATGCAAACCTACTTAAACCTGGCGATGCACTTTCGTCCGCGATATTTCAAGTGCTGGATAGCGAACCTAAAAGGGAACAAGATAAAAAGTAAGTGGAACTCTAAACACAAAGTGGACTTAGCTCTAGAGGATAAGTATGACACTTGTCCTGCTGCCAATATTTAATATCTGACGATCTTTGATGATTTGGGTAGAATTGCAAACATGTGGTTTGTTGTTAATGTGGGAGCGAAAAATTAGAACCAACCGACAAAGTAGCCTCCACCTAAATGGCTTCAGTGAGTTTATAAAACATACGTAAGGAGTTTGAGGAAGTCGGCACGTTCAGTTTCGGACAGACTGCGCAGCAACGCAACGACAGGTTCCTCGGCCAGGTTGGCCAGGAGTTGGAGGAGACAAATGTAGAGGTCGCGTTGGCACTTGTCGTTGAGGTGGTGTTGAGGGGGCAACTGATGTACATGAGGATGGCGGTGTATGTGCCGACGAAATGTGTACTCGAACTGCGTTGGTTCAGTCTGGAATCCCACTTTTGAGGAGGACGATGACGAAGATGGTGGTAGCGGAGGTGGTCCTGCTGAGGATTGAGGTACCTGAGGAGGCCGTTGTCTATTAAAATTGAAGGAACGCATGATACCTTTCGATGAAAGGGGGGAATAAATAGTGGCTGTGAAAATAAGTCAAATATCGTGATTAGCCGTAGCATCAGGCGGAATTTTAGCCATGGTCACTGGCTTTAAAGATCGTACAATCCAATCTCTGCTATTTGTATCCATATGTTAAGCACCAACTTGGAAGCGTGCAAAATCTAATTTTAATGGCCAGTTTAAGATAGGAAAATTACACAATTTGAATCCAAGATTTAAAAACCTATCTAAAAGTATTTGAGGTGTAATCTTTAGCCCTACATTATGGTAGTGTCCTCGCTGCGCCGCTACACGCAGGCCCGCATAATTCAGAGCTCCATACCACTGATGATAATACGTAAATAGTTTTCATGAACGCCAAACCAGAAAACTATAAGTTGTAAAACGTGGTCGGAAAAAAATACCACGCGTTAACGATTTACTATGACTCTATCAAGTAAATATTTCAAAAATCCACAAAGCGTTGATTAAGATATTTAGAAACTGAGAGGGTACTTTCAACGTTTTACCTATCTAAAAATCCCACAAATGGAGAAACTGTATACCATTAAAATCAGTCACTCTTAGATTGCACATTTAATAAACTTACAACCGAATCACTTTGAAAGTCACGACAACAACTATGTGGTCGCAAATACCTACGTGTCGTTTATTCACTTGTTTAGAGAGGAAAAAAATTGAGACTATTCATACATTTATCTAAACAAAACCTTAAACTGATTACCAGCGTTACAATCAAACACATAAAGAATGTAACTTGACAAAAAGCTGGGGGTCCATCAATTCAAAGCCAATTCCTGCATCCAAATTTCAGGGAAAATTCGTATGAAGATAGAAATAGAAAAATGAATCTGGGCGTGAATACCACGTCAACTTTAAAGAATAGTAACAGTGACTTGACATTATAAATTAGTGTTAGTTTAATTGCAAGAGCTCTTTAATCTCCATAGGTTGTGCTTACGCATGACAGTATGACCGCCCGATCCTTCTAGGAGTTAATAACAATTCCTCTATAATAGTGTGCTTTAATCCAACTCCCTGGATAACACTGAGGGCCATACAAGATTTAAATACCTATTTTTATTTTTATGAACTGGTATTTATGGAGCCAACCCTGATAAACTAATGGGATACGCAAAAACTGACCCTGTTTTGGCATCGTGTACAATGGAGGGTGGCGGAGGGCGCGATTGACTATCGGCGACATCGACCTTTTCCGAGGGCAAGACGCCCGCCATTTCAAGCACTCGTTCTGGCCACTCATCGTCATTTTCGTCAACTAAAACGAAAAATGCTGGCCACACATCTGGCGTAAGTGAAGTGACTTCTCCCTGCTTCACGAGATGTAGCCATATTATGCAGATGAGTGAAAATTTCCCCCATGAATAGTGTCAATAGACAGAAAAACCATACTACTTATGAAGGCGATAAGTAGACTGATCAAAGCAACAGCTATCGCGATTTCGTGCCTTCCAAATAGCTAATTAACCATGATTTTCAGCCAAGGCCAGTACCAATACTACTAATGGTGCTCCTAGTAATGTGTCAACGCGGAGACATATTTCATGCCGACTTAGCACCGAAACTTTATGAAATAACTACAACTGTTACCATAATGGAAAATACTACGATTTTGTCGTATGAAAATGAATTATCGGGGGCTGAACTCGCAGTCTAGAGGGTTCCAACGAAAGACTACGACAAATCTATCATTATCAATACTTTTATTGCCCTTAAATAAACACGACTGGGTACTTACTATCGGAGTTGTAGTCACCATTGCTATCCCCACCACCATTGTCGCCGCCATCATTTGCGTACCAGTAGTGATTGGAGGAGTCCACCCTTCCAATTTCCGAATCCTCATCTTCGTCTTTGTTGACACAGCCACTGCCGCCCTCCGTGAGAGTCGCTGTGCTTCCAAACTTTGCCTTAGCTGCTATCGTTGTTGATATTTCGTTTGGCAGACGCCTACGTGGTGCCACATACTGTAGCGAACCACCTGTAAAAACAGCAATCTTCTAAATGCAGGGAAAAGCATTCTCAATAGGTTAACCTGTGATTGACCAGTAGTACTGAAGCATGATAGCAGGATACCGGACCGTGCGATTCCGTCTACACGTTGGCTGAAGAGAGCTCTACTGGTCTCCCAACCGTTTCTTAGGCTTACTAACTCCTTGAACCGCAAATCACACGACGCCTTCAGAGGCACTTCGAGCGCCACATTGGTAGCAACGATAAACGAATTCAGTAAAAAGGACTAATGGTTTCGATTTCGCTGGCTGGATGATGCGCGAAACGTTACAGGAGGAAGGCGTGTGCTTTGGATGCTTAAATCAGTAAAGATCCGCGGGAGGAGGACTGCCGAAGTCGTAGTGACTTCAGACAATCACCTTAACCTCAAATTCTGCACAGCATCAAACGAATCAAGGTAGGCCATAAGGAGCTGTTAACAAAATTGACTGAATAGTTCGTAACGTTACAAGAAGTGGAAGCACTGAAACCGCAAGAAAAAAAGGAATAAATTGAGGGCTTTATTCTGTAAATCACTTTTATTGCCCACTCATCTGTGATACCGAACCGCCAGCGTCCAGTAACACTCGCTCAAGGGAACAGAAACTTTGAGACGTTGAGGTTTGTGCCAAAAGGTAAAAAACCCAAAGATCATTCCAATGAAAAAAGGCTACCGCTAATCAAATCCCAAATATTAGGCAGTTGCTCTTATTGAAAAGGCTGTAATTGCTTACCTTTTCTCAAAATAAGCGCAAAACAATAAACCAAACAGAATTCCTACTTAAAGCTTGCCGAAGCTATTGAACTACCCGAATGTTTCAAGCACAACTTTGAGTAAGTAGGACAAGTTAGGCTTATACTACTTGTTTTAGCCCTCATAGCAGTCTATTCTGCACCCAGACTCCAACATTCATCAATTCCTGATTAAATGAGTAGATATAGAAAGTGCATCATGAAAATGCCTCGACAAACTGAAAACTTACCTTTATTAAATCCAGCGATCTGTTTTAGTACCTCCGGTGCCACCTTTCCATCAGGACCGATGAAAGTGGAGGAGGAGGAAGAAATGGAAGAGGCATTCGATCTTCGCTCCGAAGAAGAATTAGACGAATTGGATGCCGACGTAGTGGGACAAGAGAGGGAGCTTATACTACCATCAGACAGCGTAGTCATATTGCTTGGACGCGCTATCGGGGCCTTCTTGTTCGTCTGTCGTGGCTGCTGATGGCCGCTGTTGTGATTGTGGCCGTGAAGCTTTCGCAGCTTGTGCGACGTTCGCGACTTGAGTCGATACTGTGAATCACAACCGGTGGCATCACCCAATGAACTGACACCATGACTACTCACCTTTTCTAGCTCGCGCAATTGAAGACCTGCGAAAAAAAGAGAAACAATGGGAAAGTACATTTCATCAAAAGCCCCGTAAGATAAATGACTAAACTTTCAAACACGAATTCGGTTCTATTGATTGAAGCACTTTCAGATGAAACTATGGATAAATGTGCTAAAGATTTGCAATTGTTTCCCAACACAACCTCCACCATGGAGCGAACCAAACGGAAATAGGGGGCATTTGATTGGTAGTAATGCGATTCACAGGACAAACTAATGAGAGATGAGTGAAGACCCCGCTTTAACAGACAATTCAATGCTTGGCATTCATTGGCCGAGTAATCTGATCAGTCAAACAAGGTAAATAATGTGAAGACGGCTGTAGGGAAGGTAATCAAATGTATCTGCATTGTACCATACGCAATTGGCAGTAATAATGGTTAAAAGTAATCAATATTTTGACGAAATTAAACTATTTGAGACGAGAGACAAAGGTGTGGTCTACGAACTAAAGAAAGTCTTAAATATGTTGAATTTAAAAGCAATCAAGAGAATTCCGTCAAGTTATCTGCAGAATTTAAACATCATCAAAGTGACGACACATCGAGTCAAAATCCGTAGAATAGATCGAATAGATGGCACTGAAACTAGGAGTCGGCCAGCAATCGGCAAAACTACCAACCCGAAGCAGGAGACAAAAAATCAACACTTCGCACCAGGCGGTCCTAGCGCATTGATATTCTCCAGAGCGATTTTCACCAGCGGCAGATAGAGCATGTAAATGCGCGAGAGCAGTCGACGCGAGGTGGCGTAGCGTGGGTCAAAAGTCACCTTAGCGAGTTGAGCAAGGAGGAGAAGGAGGGGTTGACGCAAACTCCGAGTGGAGACTGCACCTCCCGCGTCTGCACAGCCGGCCAGCACGCAAGCCACCTGCTGCAGACTCAAGCCCACCACAAAGTGCTCCTTACAGAAACGTTCACTTAGAGTTAATTCCTCTCGGCGATCTTCGAAATGAAGGGTGGGTGGAAAAATATAGTCAATACCTATTTCCAGGCGACTTCCGACAATTAGGATGTCAATTTAGAGTGCACTTTCGAAGAAAAAGCTTGTGCTACTAATTTTTTTGTGGGTAGAATTACAAAGCTCGATGAGGTGTGGCCGTTATTCGTTTAAAGTAAGATTGAAGTACACTTCTCCTCGAAACCACTCAGCAGGATTCAAACAACATGCGTCAAAGTATACTGAAATTTGGAGTTTCGACTGGGCGGGGAACCATTCCTGCTTATTTACAATATTAAAAATGGATCTATTCCACTTAAATGAGTAGTAATAGCCGCTTATTTCAATGATGTTTAATTGTGTTGCATAATTAAATGAGCAAGTGCTTCACAATTCTTAGAGAGATATCAGAGTACATTAAATGCTTGTTTGCCACTAACATAAGAGCGCTGTTTCCTCCAGTGAACACCGCGGGCAAAAATGAACATGTATTTGAGCTGTAGCAAGCTAAAGAAATAGCAATCTAGCCTACCTGAAAGGTGAGGACTGAGTGAAGGCAAATTGATCTGGACAAAGAACTGGGTCTCTGAAAATCGCTGTAACAGACGGTAGCGAAGACAGTTGAAATTATCCACCTCAATGGGAGACTAAGTGGAAATAAACAAGTGGGAAAGCAAAGCCCGACTACCTCCAAAAGTAGATTTGAATGCGTTTAAGCAAAAGCATTTACCATGTTGTGTCTAATCTCCAAAACTGTTAGCAAATCCCTCAACCGCTGCAGCACAAAACCCCGATCAATGAGAAGAAGCAATTTTTCCAGGAAATCGGCAGTACTATCAGCCAGTTCCGCACCCAACGTTTTAGCAACCTTTGAATGCGTGTTGGAGGTCTCCACCACTTGGGTATCATAGACACCACAACCACCACCCGGTACAGAGGACGACTGACTACTACGGGTTGAACCAGTATCGGAAGGACCGCCTTCTGAAGCCCCTTCATCGCGTTCTGCACACATCTCCACCATCCATTTGCCAACAAGTCGTAAAAGGACCGTCAGATCAGTCTTGAATGCAACGGACAAGCGCCCCCATTCCTTGCGCTCAAACTACGGACAGCCAGTCAAATAGAGATTAAAACCAGCACCATTCAGGTCAATTCAATAAAAAATATTCTATCACCTTGTATCGACTGGAGGAGCTGAGGTGTTGAGCCAACGACTTAATAATCACTTTGAAGAAAAACCACGCGTTAACAAAGAATTTGTGCGCAATCTCAGAGGGACAAGAGGGATCCACCATGAGGGCTATCATTCCACGCACCACGGCGTGGTGGAGAAAGTGGGCACAGGAACCAGCGGTGGGGAGTTTGTAGATGTCGGAGGCCGAGGAACAGAGGGTGCTGGGGTCCAGTGAAAACTAAAGCAAAATGGTATTTGTTTTATAAATTTCCATTCGAATAAGAGAAACTCTTCCGACTTTTGCGAACCAGCTACGACGCTAGTGCTATGACATCTGTTCGAGGTATTTATGCTGCTAGACTTAGCCCTTCTGTTCGATCAGACTGAGGCAACATTCCAATTCGCGATTCCACACCTAGACGTCACAGATGGCATCTACCATCGATAAGTAACAAGAGAAGAGCTGTCAAAAGCACCACCAACTCTTACAGCTGCCAAAGTCTTGAGTTTTGCACAAATTAAACGAACTCCAATAACGCAAACTTGCAAATGAAACAATCAAGTACGAGTTCTTTCTGTCTACTCCGATCTGATTACCACGCTAGCGATATGGCGATCTGGTCGTGCCACCACCCAGACTATTACTCCTCCGTCCATTATGAATAGCAAAAATAGAGCCACTTCCAGATTTGTGCGTCCTTAATGGGTCTTCAAAGACAACGCAGGCGGTAAATATACGCACAAAGTCGTCACTAACCAGATAAATACATTTTGCTAGGTGTAAATAAAGAACGAAACACTCAAATTTGGGCCTAATCCCCGCATCAATCAAAATTTAATCATGATATCAAGGTACAAGATGTAAAGTAAAGCGTACTTCAAGGAAATTCTTCAACAAGACGGGTCTTGTCGTGAAGTTTTGGGTTGACTTTGAGAAGAGGGACGCGGAGGGAGAGAAGGTGGTGGTAGAGCCCGAAAGAGCATCCTCGATGATGCACAGAATCAACGAAAAGGTTCTAAAAAAGTAGGAGAGAAAAATAAAACAGGAAGTTTGTACAAAATTCAACAGCACTTTTACACCTTTGCAACAGGGAGTTCTCCGTCAAGAATCTTCCAAATGAAATTAGAAATTTAAAATTGGCAGCCAAATACCATCCAGATGATTGTAAAGGCACGACCGAAAATAAATGATAACACTTTGGGTGTCACTTCATTGAATCTATTTTTGGATAAAATTCATAGGTTTTACGCGACTTTTGCATTGAAACAATCATTGCATTAGCTTGAACTGTTTGTCCATTGAAAAGATTAATTAGTTGTAAAAGATAACCAACTTGACATATACCATGAAGTAAAATTAAAAGTTTGAGAAATCTTTTAGGTTCCTATATTTAAATGCAAAATAAATAGTAGCAGTCTATCCGTGAATCGAGTCATCGCATATGTTTAATGTTACTACTATTAACTGGTAGCATTGATACCTAATAAACAAAGACCGCTCACCCCACAGCAGTTTTGGCAAGATCGCACACCCCACCAGGAATCATATCCTGGCAAAGCGCCAACCACTGGCCAGCATCTCCTGTTACCGACGCCGTACTCGTCTCCAATTGACTCATTGCAGAGCTGACCAGCAGTACCTCGAGAATCTGGTTGGCCAGTGCGGGAAAAAACTGAACCAATGCATGGCACTCCACCAACAGGAGCGATTTAATAGCATTGCTCAGTAATTTGCCCGTGGTGGTGTTTATTCGGGAGATGGCAACAGAGGGGAATAGGGATCGTGAGGGGATGGACGACTTATCGTCGGTAGTGAAACGAACACTCTAAAAGGAAGAATCCGATTTTGAAAGAATTTAACACTAAAGAATGGTAAAGTGGAAGCTCTGGTAATGATAGGATACATCTTGCTAATGCTATCAAAGAGCAGACGTCAACAGAGGAAGTCAACATTAGGCTGAAGTTCAAGACAACGAAGTTGACTTCCAAGTCATAGAATTTGACAATTTAGCGTAACTACGAGAATGGTCAAATAGTCTTGCCTTTATCGAATTTCAAGTTCAACCATGTAATTTCAACGAAAAAATTTCCAGGACAGCTAAGCACACTTCTGCTAAAAAGTCAGCAAAAAGAAAGTATGAGCTGCTCGATATCTACTCAATCAATCGGCAACTGCTCCAGCCCGATTAAAGTACTTAGAATATTGTCCAAGATCCATTGAAATTATATCAAATCTTAGGTTTATCAAGAAATCTCACAAGACAGGAAGACAGCCTTCCACCACCAAAAAGGCGAAAAAAACATCACTTAATTCACTTAAAATTCATCCAGTCAATTGGCAAATCTTACAGAAGGCTCAAAATCAAGGAAAATTACATCGGATTCCAAGACTCACCAGCTAATAAATCACCTGAAGTTCCACGATTACATTGCTGACTTTAAATTTAGATAATTCAAGAGGACCTACCAGGACAGTCAAACAGTCCTTTATAAACGAGACCGTCGTAAAAAGAGTAAAGATTACACTCACCCTTGTTCCTACCGGAGCAACAGCATCAGTAGCAACGGGCACCGTGTAGACGGCAAGTTTGTAGGCACACGTGTCGAAGAAGGACACCAACTTTGCGTCCAGGCTATACATTGTGGAGACGGGCTCGAGGGCAAGGGTGAAAAGGGGTCGCTTGTTGTCCAGCCATGCTGGCTCGATTCCAAAGGTGGTAGAGCTTAAACGCACGTCATTACCCATCGTGGACGAAGATGACTGGTGATTAGACATCGGACGACGCTGCAAGGGAAGATGAATTAAGAGTGAAAGAGGATGCGTGGATAGGTGGATGGATGGATGATCAAAGAATGGATGCATGGGCTAAAGCGACTCACGGTGGACTTAGCTGTTGCATCAAGATACCCATTGGGAAGATCCTGGGAGATGGGGAGCGAGATAGTACCAGAGACGAGGCTAACATTGAAAAGGAATGTTAAACACAAAAGTGAAAGTATAGAAATTCAGCAGAAAAACGACAAAATTCAATATCAATCGCCAATTTCTAGTAAAACATCATTACTTAACTAAGACTGTCAATTCGCAGGATTAACGACTGTTCTTCTAATAAACTTCTTGATAAAAGGAATTGAAAAAGCGAGATCACTTTTCAGCCTCACCTGCCATCTTCGTTAAGTACGGGAAGCCAAGCAAAGCCAGTGGAGGATTCAAGAGCCTTCTTTGTGGAGGAAGTCTTTTCAGTTGAATTAGTAGCCAGATCGCAGCGAACATGATAAAAACGGAAGAGAAGGTGATGCCGTCGTGTCAGCACTATCGGAAGACACACTTTCGCCTGAGGTACAAGAGACGAACCAGTGAAACGATGTGTACGTGAAGCTCGTAAAAGGTTTTCTTCATCACACAGAGGTTTCAACATTAATTAGCCTTAGAACACTTTATGACTTGCCTCATCAAGGAAGGTGGGCGAGGAGTCGTGATGCAGCACAGTAGTGTTGAACCATGTGTCGAAGGCCGGTTGAATTAGGGAAGGACGGGTGTAGAAGACCTTCAATGGTTTCGCGTCTACTGCATCGCTCTCTCGCATTTCCATAAAGCAGCACAAATTCCGTGCCTATAAGGGTAAATCATTTATACCCGGTGTTTAACCGATTACTTTCTAACAAAGTAATAATAGTTTAAAGGGTTTACGAGAGGGTTAATGTCACTACAAACGACTTAATTAAGGCAATCATTGCTGCTAATTTCAACGAAGTAATTATTTTATTAACTACATTAAACTTACCCTCCCAAAGGAATGTTTAATAGCCATGTTGAGAGCTTGTGGATATATGTAGAGAGTGTGCACGAAGCTGCGATAGGGATCAACCAGTGAGAGGGGGGGCTGATTGAACAGAGTCCCCGCTTCCTCAACTGCAGCGGCAGCCGCTGCCGACGCCGCAGCACCCACCACTCCTTCCGCACCAGCCCCGTCGTGAGTCACACCACTGACGAGACTGCTGAGCTCAAGAGAGGCAGCCTTAGCGAGTACAGCGGAGAATCGGAGGAAGCGACTGGCAGACCCCGAATCGGTGCCGGTGCCATTGGCAGTGGAACCGTTCGATAGTGCGGAGGATGTGGAAGTAGTCGATACCTCAGAGCGAAGGGAGGACATGGAGTTGCGTTTGTTGTCACCGAAGAGGAGGAAACTGCTGCGTGCGTTGTTGTAGCCGCTGCTACCGTCGAATAAAACTGATGAGGTAGAGGGAATAGTGAATAGCATATAGGCGCAAAAATTAGTGAAATTGGATTCTTATAGATGCTAAGTCAAAATAAACCATGAAGAACAGGAGCAACATTTTCTCTTAACTCGTATCAGACCATTATCATGAGAAGGGTAAAGATATCCGTGCCTTGCAACGCAGAAAAAGCCCGTGACAAGAATGGATGAGCCCTAATAATTGGTTCACGAACAAAACACGAAGAGACTAATGATAATAATCAGAAAGGCAACATAAAAGGTAGCTTAAGACCAAATTTCTCCAAATAAATCACATCAGGGGATATTAAAGTTCTAGGACGTTTAAAACGATGGGAAACAGACCTGGATCGAACGCTCCATACGAATTTTTTCCTGCAATCACACGCACCTTTCGCGTGACGAACACCTCTACCTCCTTCACCACCTCCTCAGGAGAAAAGTCGTTGACATGAAGAAGGTTAATGGGCCCCACTTTCTGCATCTTACCACCATCGCCTATCCTCTGCTTTGAATGTGCTGCCTCCAGTTGTGAGGTCACTAGACCGACCAAATATTGAGAGACAACTTCATTCGAGACTTCATTCACTGCCACATGGAGTTGTATTGGTAACACCTCAGCTTTTATCGATTTTTCCAGGGTTTCCAGCACCGCTGGAGTCAGTGACAAGACCAGCTCCGTTTTCCTTGTCCCCATCATCGCCTCAGCCGAAGAGGTTTCCTTGGAGAGGGTCAGAAGTCGAGCGAGCTGGCGGACCGACTGAAGGAGGGAGGGTTCGGAAACCTTAGAGGAATCCATTTTGAACAGAGGTACTTGTGTCTCTTTCGAGAACAACCACCTGCGAAGACAAAACCACCAAATTAAACGATTCCAACAGACATCTCGTCTAAATTTAGAAATGATTACCGACCTGGCGCCCCATGCGAAGGGCATTCGATAGCGACCGAGGAGTTTGGAGTAGGACTGCATAGATTTATGCAGCACGGCGCCTGACTTGAGGTCACTTGAGGTAGGTGCGTTTCCTGCGTCCATGCCACCACTCGCGGCTTTCATGTACTTCTCAGCGGCCTGGCTAATTCCGCCCACAAGTACTTTATCCACACGGAATACAAGGAAGAGGTGGTTTGCACGGATGGCCGGATCAAGTGAGAGAAGCGCCTGTAGCAAGACAGAGAAACAATGACATCCATTTCAATAGCTAAAAGGTAAATGGAATATTATCCTAACGGATCGACACTTGGCCAGCTTTGAGGGCATAGGAGTGAGTGAACCATGCGGATTGAGGGGTACAGGTGGAGGGGGAGCCATTGTTTTCCCTCCTGGCTGGTGACTAACAGGCTGGTGATGGATAAAGGGAATGGTGTCGGCAGTGTGCCAAGGCAGACGACGGAAGACCTCTGGAGAGAACATGGCCTCAACTAAAGGGGAGTTGGGATTCCAACAGAAATCTTCGGATAGACGGGTACCACTGTCAGCTGTGCTGGCAAGGAAGAAGGAGACAAAAAACGGTTCCGGCTATGGAAAAAAAAGAAAAAGAGGAATTAAAAAGGCGTAATTCTATGCAAACCTGAAGTCACTTGAAATCTGTTGCAAAGCATAACGATAGCATTGATTGGCAAGAAAACTTTTGCCGATAACGGGCTTTGTAATTTTGATATGAACTTGGTCAACAAATGCTGCGAACTTGTGACCGGATAGGTCAGTAAAAATTTCGTGTTATTTTTAAACGAGTTCCGTCATGGACCTCACTAACGCTGACAAATTGAAACAATGACGAAGTGTTGAACTACTGAGCAACACCCAATGTGTTTTTCGATAGTTTGAGTGAACATTTCTGTTCTGATAGGTGAATTTAAATGGCAAGGTGCAGCGAATGCATTCAATGCCCATGCAACACCAAAGTACCCCTTGGCGACACATATCTAAGGGCCTCGATTCAGATCACTACCAAAAGTAAAAAGTTAAGAGAAGGAAGAGAGAGTACACATGGTTATGAGTATGAAGAACTTTGAAGCAATGGAAGAAGAATAGGAGGAAATGCGAAGAGGGGTGAGGAGGGAACGCTTATGACTGATTTCCCAGGTAGTCCACTTTATTACTGTCATCCTCCAAATAAAGAACAAATTAGGACAAATTAGTAGTGACTTCGAGGCAAAGGAGGGCAAGAATGATTAAGAAAAGGAGTTAGAAAGAAGAACCGTTTTATCGATTTTCTGGTTGATTCATTGCTGTCATGAATGCCTATGACCTCTGAAAAAAAAACTCATACAGCTTAAGAGGTGCATTTAGGGGAGCGAGCATCATCGACTCTGCCCAAATCTTCACTTTGAGTACTGTCAATAGGCAAAGTTATTTCTTTCAACGCTAAAGGAAGAAAGTAGGGGGTAAGGAACGTACATTATCAATTTCCCAGGCTCCAGTAGCATCTTCAATGGAGGCACGAAGTCCTGTCTTGAGAGAGAGGCATGTGACCAAGAAATGTCGTTTACTCTCGCTACATGCGCACTGCGGCAGCAGTTTTTGCACACTCGGCGACTCCTCCAAAGTCGAGTTCTCAACGCTCTCCAACAGATCAGCTGTCTGCTGTCGACGACGTACGTACTCGCTTGGCAGCTGGTTGTTGTAGGGGATCTAAGAACATTAAAAGACATTCACGTCTTAGTTTACAATAGATACACAAAGTTATGGTAATCATGATAAATGTCAATGGTCCTTTGATCAAACCTCAAGAGTTTCCCGTCCTCTGGTTGCCTTGTGGCGATAAATTAGTCTCAAATATGAGGTTTTCAAAGATAAATAATAATTTTAGTGAATTGTGCCACGAGCACTAACTCTCGTATACACCTTCCCCATTATAGGCCGTATAACATGGAACGTACTACTCAGAAATCGCACACTGCTACTACTGAAAGTAGCTATTTTTTTTCTCTACAGCGTAAAGTCCTGCCGCTCACCAGTACTATTCACTTAGCAACTGGGGGTGCTAGAGATAGCACAAGACAATGTCTTTATCAATGCGTAGTACGGCAAGATGTTGTAGCTCATTAGAAGCTCCGATTATGCCACCCAAGCTTCCAGCCCTCCAGCTCTTATCCGTTGCCAAGGCAAATGAATCTTCATGCACTACACAACTAGCATTTGACTGAATATCCGACTAACATATCTTCATGAATAAATAGGTGTTTTTAAGAAACTCAGAGATGCCAAAATGTTGACATTATCCATCTCGGATGAGGGTTGTATTTTTTTGACTTGCAGAATGTTTGTGCATATTGCCTTGTAAAGTCATAACCCTTCTAATTATGTTGCAACAAGTGCTCTATTCTGACTGAAAATCACTAGTTTCAACTGAGTCACCTTCAAGTCGAGAAATGAGCATTTAACTAGTGCGCCCCATAAAAAAGCAGAAATAAAAGCCACTTGACTTTTGAGCTCGACTTTGTCGCATCACGCACTCGAGATTTCTGCTGTATTTTAAGAGAACCGGTGAATTATAATTTATTGTAGTTAATAAATCTTCATCAGCACCAATCATGGTAAACAAAGTCAAAGCCGGTCAACACATCGAAATCGAGCGAAACACACTCCTAACTCAATTTTTGGGTCAAATTTTTCTACTGAGCTCATCCCTTTACAATATTTTCGACTCACTGAATATTTAGAAAAATGATTTTGAGATAACTTTAAGCTTACTTGAAGATCAGGACAAACTGACAGGAGGTTAAGACGATTTTGTCGCCGCTGGTGACTGACGAATAGTTCGTTTTCTTGAGAAAACTAAAATAAGCATTAAGTGATATGAGATAAACCACTTCAAGGGAGCGCCAATTAGCCATCAATTAACCTCTGACCAACGCATACATAATTGAGACAGTTACGTATGCACAGTCCATTAGCACAGTATCTATGCGTCCACCATCTAGCCATTCACCCATTCATCCACCTCTGATTTATTCACAATTTACCAATCGGTACTTCATCTGTAACCATTTTGGCAAGTAGAGATTGTGATTTGGGGGGTTTCCAGGCTTACCTGAGCACAAAAACAAACAAATATAAGGCCCGTGAAAACCGTACATCCATTGACCTTTGGTGAACCCACCAAAAATTGGGCCATCCATACATTCCCCATCTGGACATCCACCAGTCAATCATCTAATCCACCCGCGCGTTGACCACCATTCCAGTTAATCCATAACCCGTTTATGGCCTTCCCTTTCACCTTCCCTTTCATTCACCAACTGTACGTCTCTACCAACATCAGCAATTAAAAACCCAACTCTAAGCCATTCACGCGGCTGTTCATTCATTCCTCTTATCATGTTCCATTACGATGACCAAATAATTAATGGAACCGCCACGTACACGTTGGAGAGAACTTCGTACTAAGTCTCTGTCCAAAGGCCGTGCATCAAAGCTCCACTTTCGACACCCAGACACTTCTAAAGTCATCGCAGCACCATTTGCGTTGCCAGTGGTGGCATCAGTAGCATCAGAAACTGAATAACTGAGGCTCAGACGCGCTTTTTCCGCATCTAAGGCGGCTCTAATCGCAGTAATCCAGGCATTTCGTGTCTCTGTGCTCTCGAAGCACAGATAGGCCTCGTTGCAGCTAGGGGAGGATGAGTAGGACGAAAAGAATGATTCAAAGTGGTCGCTAGCGATGCGCTGCACTCGTGTCGCTGAGTAGTGGTCGAGACGAATCCAATGGCGACCGATTCTGGCCACCGATTCGATGGCATCTGCAAGAAAACAAAGATCCAATAGGTTTGAGGGTGGTGTTGAGACCTATTCCGCTAAAATTTTGAATACTCTCACTAAAGCAGGCAAGTGAAAAAAGGGGCAAGAACACGACATTTAGAAACACGCTTGTGAATCGCCAAACCGTATGCATTCTTCATGGTGAGTGGAAAGCACTTATATTAATGGTTAAGGCTTCGATGTGTCTCGATAGAGAGATCAGCGATTTCAAACGTTTCCCCACATTTACTAATAAAAACCTCTATACAAATTGCACAGTAACTTCCCCTCACGATTTGCTTACCATTATATTCTGCAAGGTAACAAACGAAGTCACTGGGTGTTTGCGATTGCCTATTTGGAGCACATCACTGAAGATAAGGCTGCCATGCGGTATTTACATAGAGATAAGCTTTTACTCAACCTCTTCAATGCATTAAATCATTCTTCACTACTCGTGATCGTGGCTGTAACTGGACGTTCTGAGGGCTCTGAGTTCGTCAAATCAAGACAAACTCTTCGATCCACTCAGAGACGATGGCCCTAAGAGAACTTTACCTTCACATTAAGTACACACGCCGACAACCATGAATTCCTGCTCTCTGTATACATTTTCTGCTAGGAACTAACTCAGCATATAATGAAACGACGTTCTTCTTTGGCATAATTTACGAATTTCGCAGAATGGAGGTAATTATGCATGAATTAGGCTACAAGAACGGCCGAATTACCGGACAGTGGTCATATTACGCGACCAGGGTTGAACCGTGGCTACTACCCTAGTCATTACTGCATCCAGAACAAGGTGGGATGATCTTATCAGAGAACAAGCAGACTACTTGAAAAAAACCGCCTTCTACTGGATCGAGAATGACCATAAATGGGGTCTTTCCTTTAAAAATAGTCTTACAACTATACTTGGACACATTATTTTAGGTCTACAACAACGAAAAAACCTAATGAGTCAGACTGACAAGGATTTGAAAGGGTTATGAACATAAGCTTATGGTTAAACAGTTGCAGGGATTGACCATTCCAGCTCACCATGCTATACCAGATCACATCAGTCACTGCATCATATACTAAGTCACCCTATGAATAGACTGTCGAGCAGCTTGCCCATTGAAATATTCACCTTACCGTTGTTTGTAGTCCTATCCGTGAGTTCTTTCAGGTTGACTCAACAACAGAACACAAGATTGTGAATAGATTGATTCAATAACTAACTTTAGCTGAGCTCGGAACAAATCACCCGAGATTTGTAATGTCAATACTCTTGAACGATTTCATGGTGTGTTCAAATATGAGGCATCGGAGGTAGGTCCTTATCGCATGCATTCGGTGATGCATCTGGCGTGCATGCTTTTCAAAAGAGCCCAACTTTGGGGCAGAGTGTAAAATTACATGCAAGAGATTTTAGTGGGGAAGATCAAAAACGATGCGTAAGGAAGAACCACTATTTGCATGGGTTTTGGTAAGATCCAGAGCATAGAGACAAAAAATCTGCAAAGCACAGCTTGAGAGCAGTAAAAATATTGGAGGTACAATGATAACTTATTTAGAAGCTGTGAGTTGTTCTTTTTTGTTCAGATTGAGATTCACTGAACCACATCAGATGCTTTTTACCCTAAATTTCGTGAATTGGCTTGATAAGCCAGTAATGTTCCCGCTTGTTTTCCCATACTTTTTCCTACCGCATATTCTGTGTCCGACGATCCACTCTATCCATATTTACTGACCTCTGTTTTATTACATTATGTCTCCTGCTTAAAAATGTTTGGTTCCTATCACTTTGCGATCGGTTTTGCCTTAGGCCGATGTTTACCCTCATTACTTCGGGGAACTTGCAATCTTGTTATTATTTAAATGGCACATGCCCTCACTTCATCATAGTAGGCTAAAACTCTCAGTTATTTAAAGCCAGGTTTCTGCAATGAGCAGGCCAGTTTTCTTACTCTAGCTATCTTTGGGATAACAGATAATTTATTTGCCTAATTGTAGGTTGCTTTTCCTTTTTTTTCGCTTTGAGCTGGTTTTCTCCTAAGTATTTGGCATCCGTAACTATAAGTTTTTTGTTGTGGGGAAGAGCTGTTTTTGTTCCGTTTTTTAAGTTGAGTGAAATGAGAAATTGAGAGTACCTTTACTGTTTGTTCAAATATTTTCATTTCGTCTCTTCTGAGCATGAAGTGAATATCATTTGCAGCTTTTGGATTGTATATACCGTGATTATGTTTAGCCTCTATCCATTGAAAATCCTCACCTTGCACCAAAAAAAGTTTTAGGACTTGCTAGTTCTAACCACTACTGAGTAGGTGATGAATGGTACCTCGTTTGTTTAAATTGCGCTCTTTCCCTTTTAACTTTTGTGCACGACTGATGGAGTAAATGATCTCCTTTATGATGCTGGTCATCGGGCATGTGGCCGACGTCAGATTGGTGTGTTTAAGTCTAAATTTCAAAAATAATGTCACCCAATGTCTCGCCATTCTTGCCAAGCCTTCATTGGTCACATTCTCACCAGACAAGTTAAACTTCCTTGATTCCACAGCGGAAAGCATATTGGAAAAGCCGGTAACTATTTTGGCCTTTGTATAAACGGTTTCACAATAATTACGCCAAGGAAGTAGTAATTCATTCGTAAAATTCCATAGGCCAAAGTCTGCTTTTGAAATATAGTTAAAGTGGTCAGTGTGAAGTGATATGTATTACTTCCATTACATCTAATTCTAGTTTGCATTTTGTGTCTAGTACCGTTTCAGCATACATTTCCCTCGTTATACTTCATTTCTGTGACACTAGGGTTCTGATTCCTCACCGTCCCCAAAAAGAAGAGCTAAAAACTTTTGAGTTTAAGGGTTGGGTGTGCCTTATGCCTAAAGGGCCCTCTAAATAGCTCCTTTCTTTTTACAGTCATTGCGTATGTAATCGATACGACGTACGAGCGCATCTCTAAGAGCCTGCTAATGGCCCTGTTAGACATCAAATCGAAGGGGGAGCTGACTTCTGTGGTTGAAACGCGTCATTGGAAGCTGCTACCTCCCTCATCGAAGGAGGGGGAGGGAAAGGATGATGAGGAGTGGATCTTCATCACTAACCACGAGGCTTCAGTGAAGTCGACCAACATCAAGGAGAAGGTCACCTTCGACGCTATGGCACGCAGTGCTCACGCCTTTAAACCTTCTGTCGGCCAGTTCTTCATTCAAGAGCCAGATAAACAGACCGCATGAATGGGCGCTGGTGGTTTTGGTTGGGTCATCGGGCGACTATACAATAAAGCTATACCTTCGTTAATTTGTCGGCTTGAGCTGTCTCGATCCGTTTTTTGAAGTGGTGGGTTGAAGTCCCTTTTTAAGGATCAGATAAAAACACTCAGGGCAGTTTGAGTCACTAGGAACCAGCTTTACTGCCATTTCTCAAGATCACTTTGTTGTAGGTGGTGATAGTTTTAGTGAGTTAGCTGTAGCGGTACGTTTCTGCATCGGGAAAACCCCAATCGGTACTATTGGAAGAGCTGCTTTTACTATCGCCTTTTAACATCTGAGGCTTCTGATGCATCTTTGCAATGGATGTGCACTCTCCGCACTTTTCCGATGAAGTGCAACATTGTCGTTCTCACTATATGACTGCAGTTTTTTTCGAAAATCCAAGCGAAGAGCTTTGGGGAATTGCGATATCTTCCTGGCTTCGTAAGCTGCATAGCCCACAATGAAATCTTCACTCTGTGGTACGTATTATGCAGGACTCAGGTATTTTTTGGCTGGTAAGTTGCTAAAAGTGGTAAAAGTTGCCTTCGGTTTTCGCTCACTGCCTTGTGTGGCCCGTCCACAGCGTCCCACATATTCAGACAATCCAGCACCGGGAAAGTAGTGAGTCCAAAAATCATTATCAACGCATAATAACGGCAACAGATGGATCATCACATGAATGTGATCCGTGGAATAAACTGCCAGTTGCCACGTCTTTGTCGAGGTTATAGGTACGGTGAGTAGAGTAGCAGCCAGTGCCTTAGCGTTTCCGGACTTGCAAAACTTTCATTTGAACGTGGCTAATTGGCATCCAAGGCGAGCAACAACAGCTCATTCGTATCTTTCAACAATTTTCTAAGCCTTTTTTAGTGTGGTAGGCATTTGATACCCAAGGCATTGTTTCAGAGGACCACTAACAAACTGAACTTCCATTCATCAGTGTCATATTGAGGAAGTACGATGACCTTTCGTTCTTTAGTCATAAAAAAAGCCAACAAAGTCATACCGCTAAAGAAAATTTATTTTTAACGTACAGAATGGCCGAAAGGCTGTAACCATGACCAGTAGACCACATCGTCTAAACTGAAGTAGAAACCGCGCGGAGAATGATGAGTCCGATGGGTTAAACATGGCAGAAAAACCACCTCTATTCCAAAAGGCAAGGCGTTGACGTCTTCATGTGACTTTCTAGAGTCAGTTGAATCAAAGCAACATAAGACAAAATGAAGGTATAATTATAAAGCACGTATCTGCCAAATAATGACAGCTGTCGGGCAAACATACCTGATAACTGGAATCCCATGTCACTTTCTGTGATTGAAACCAGTAGACATGCATCCGCTGCCTGGGTTTGTAGTAAAGCCACTTTCAGAATCGTAGGCCTCGCAACATCTGCAGATCCGACCCGAGGGCTACAGTGAGATTGAAAATGCCTCGCAAGCGTTTGTTAAGCTAATTAAATGAGAAGTTTGATGCAACCTTTTCAGCATCTGTCATCTAAATCTGTTCGACTTAATTCCGAGCCATGAAGTTCATCTAAGTGCATGCGATGCCTATTTTACCGTTTAAAAGATGCTCACCAAAACATCTGAAAACCTTAGTTTTCGATATTTTCGCACTAGAAAGCCCTCTTTCTCATTTTTCTGACCTTCAAAATAAACTACACACCTATCCTTTTTCAATTCCTAAGCTAATTATTTGGCTCAACCCTCTTGGGGCTGTCAGATTTTAGGCTAGGAAAACCAGTTGACCTTGCTCTTTAAGAACGTACGTGTTACAGAAGACAATCCAGTGACTATCGTGTGACTTATCCTTCAACCTGGGTCGGTTTATTGCTACACTAATAGGATAGGGAAAGGAAGGCTCGGAGAGGGAATAAGTTGTCAGAACGACTTCCGTGCTCCATATTGGGGTTATAACACGCCTTGTGCACACTTTCGCTTAAAACACAGAAAATCATTTGAATAGTTCTAAACGAGTCTATCAACCAGCATAAGGATAGGATATTGCACTTCTCTAAAGTAAATCACCCTAAAACTCATCATTTTAGTAGCCATTGCCTCGATCCCAAAGCAGACCATGCCTTCCTATCCATTGCATTGTTTTGATGGAGCTAAGTAAAAGGCAGGGTTGGTATTTTCATCTAAAAATGCTAATCTACCTCTCTTTACGTGTGGTAAATGAAGTTTTTCCCCCATAGCCCATTTTCTTACTGATAAACCGGCTATACTCCGTCAGAGGAAAGACCCACTCTGCCTGCCTTTAGAAGTAGGTCGGTCTATTGATTCATCAAAAGGGGAGTTAGGCAGGGACGGAATGCAAAGGGAAGACAAGCGGACATTGGAAAGTAATGGGAAGGAGTGGAGTGAGACGACAGTGGCGGCGGCAGAGAAAGACGAGTTTCTGGCAGAAGAGGGGATGGAGGGGGGTTATGTCAACGACGCCCAAGTGAATTGAGACTTGGGACCAACCTGGAGACGCATCTCATCCACCACCACCTTGAGGAGACAAAACCATCGTAAGATGGGTCAGTAGAAAGAAGTATGGCTGCAGCACTGGGGTTAAAATCATAAGAAGCTCAGCCGAAAGACTTCTGTAATCAGCAATAATAATGGTTAAAATGCATTTTTCTCTCTAAATCAAAGGTAAAAATTCCACTTTGGAATCAGCATTCAGTGACATTCACAATGATAAATGACTGCTTTTATAGTACCCAAGGGTTGGAGATGAAGTAAGTTTGAAACATCCCCAAATACGCACAGGTAAAGGAGTTAAGAGATAAGCAGAACTCCCACAACCCCAAAAGTAGACCTGATTGGTAGATGGCAACAAAATGATTTCAAAACCAACCTCTTCGTTAAGAAGGTTACTCAAATCCACTCGATATCGGTCAAAGGCATCATGCATTGCATTATACTTTTCCGGGTGCACGCGCAGCATTACCGATCGGTACCGTGTTAGAAGCACCAGACAGACGGTGAGGAAATCACTAGAATTCGTCAACCAAACATTGCCATTTGCGCACATAACCAAGCAGTCATAATGCTTAATTGCAATAAACCCTACAAGAAGAGGCGTTTGAGTCGACTAATCTTCTCTGGTGGGTGCAGTTGGGACCGTGAGGAAGCGAGAAAAGAATGCGCGTAGGCCATCGGTCCCTGATTTACAGTGGGCAGCAGAGCACCCTGCAACTGCATATCAAGCAATAGGGGCACTCTGCATTCCCCCTTGGCGGTTGTCTCTACCCAGCTTTCACCGATGTCACCCACTGGAGATGCACCAGTAGTTACGCATACTCCTCGTTGATTCTTTGTCGTCGAAAGATGAAGAGCTGTTGAAAACAGTGAAAACCGTTAGAAGTATTCCGCAATCCACAGCCAGTGACTGATAAATGGGATAGACGCTTACCTGAAACGTTAGCACTTTCCTGAGGCGCACACGGAATGTGGGCGGTCAGTTCTCGCACTTTAACTTGAATCGCGTCGATTGCAGCGTCCAGAGGGGACAGATCGATATCGCGGCTGGAGACAATTCCCAGACGCGAGCGAAGATGTGGAAATACCGCTTCCGTAGTCAGTATCGTGCGTCGTTTCCACTGCGCGGTCAGATCGTCCGTCCGCTTCGGTCCGGAAGACAGGAGACACGCGTCTGTAGACATGCCTAGAAGGACAGTAAATTTCACCTGCATATCTCTTATTGATAGGTCCACGCTCTAAACTACGAGTTTTTCAACCTGGTTGCATGATGAAGGGCGTTTCAAAAAAGAAGTCGCGGACATCGTGGTGAAGGTCAAAGGAGGTGCGGTGAGTGGTGATGTCTGTAGGCATATACGGTTCCACGAAAGTAACCTGAATGTAGGCCTTCCCAGGCGAGAGCCTGGAGGGATCGATGTGATTTTCGGTCAGCTTTTCCACGTGTCCAACACCAAGACGTTCTTCATGGATTCGGACTTGATTCTGCAGAAACACATTGATATTTTGCCATGCCTCCGTTCGATAGATATAGGACTTTCCCGCAAGACTTTCAAAACTCTGTGTAAAAGATGAGGGCATTAAAAAACACAGAAGCCAAGTCCACTTTTCGCAAATAGATTAACTGGCAATTGGAATGACACTAATGCGTTCAATATATGAAGGGAAGATAATTATATAAGAGGTAATGAGTCTGGGAGCTTCTGGTAGGTGAATAGCGTCCACAAGACCATAGTCAGTAATGAAGCTGGAGGAATGCAGCGAGAGAAAGTGGATGCAGAATGCTGCTTCCGTGAGTATCTACTTTTAAGCATCTGTTCTTACCTGGAGTGAGGCCCTACAATGGGGTTAACAAAGAATATACAATCCTAGCAAGATACATCACCGAGGTTGAAGAAACCAACGCACAGCCAAAGTCCCTAACTCATGGGTGGCTTTTCGCGTACTGACCACGTTGTGATAGTCAAAGCAGAAGAGCGACCATAGGGAGAACCAAGGGAGGGAGTCATGTATCAAAATGATGTTTGTTTAAACTGTGCAATCTGAGAGGTTTCGACTACTATCCCGGCAGATTAATATGACGCTTATGATTTTACTCGTAACGGGCGACCAACCCATCCGTACGTCAATGCTTATTCCGTCCGCCTTCAGAGCACTCTTTAAACCCAAATAGACACAGAGGCAGGGGAGCAGGCAGACCGGAGAAGCATTCAGAGCTAGACAGTGGTAAATTGAGGGATTATAAGGCAGACACAAGGCCGACGGAGACAGAACTAGGGATAAGTAAGGCCAGAATGGAAGGGCAAAGAGGAGAGGCCACTCACTTTCCCGAAGAAGGTGACTCGGAAGTAGGAGGCAAACAGACGCTGCCCAGAAGCTTCAGCGCGTGCCGTATTCTCGTATGCACGGCCGAGATGATGGTAGATGCGCGCCAGCGCCGTATAGTCCCGTCGTGTCTCGTACACCGGCGTGACAAGGGCATAAACAGGTTGCAGGGCCTCAAACAAGCCTGCTGCCTCCAACGCTGTTGCCGCGTCTGCCACGTCGCGCAGCAGATCCTCCTACCAACGCCACAGTTAATGTGAGACTTGACCTTAACTCACGAATCAGTAAGTGATATCTTTTATCCATCCACATAAGCACCATGTCTAGCAGCCTTTTGAGCCCAAAGAGGAAATTATTCCCCTGTGGCAGAAATGAGCGCTAAATCTAATCAATGCCGCAGTCTACATTCAGACATTAGAGTAACTTACCGCGAGAAGGTCCTCCATGTCTTAACTAGACCCTGATCCTCCGCACACAAGGGACATGAACCAGGAGAAAATAATCAAGTTTTTTTGATCAAAATAGCCCTGAACTTGAGTTCCCCAGTTTTCTTCATTTGAATCCTCATGACTCACATGCCTAGAGAGTCGTTCAGATGACTAACTACCTGCATGTTAGAAGCCAAATCGAGGCATCAAAGTTTTCGAATAATATAGTGAGAGGAATTTCCTGATAATTACGAAAAAAAGTTGAGCGGCTGATTTCATAAGATAACATGATGCTTTTCAACCGATAGCAGAGGTCATTTGATGACAAATTCCAACCCAATGAAAACTTAATCCCACCCAAAAAGCCATGGAGAGGTTTGGAAAAACACTATAAACAGGCAAAAACACCTGGTTGTAGGAAAGTTCAATAATTGCCGGATCACAGAGTAGCGAGCCTTCTTCCAGTCGAATATTCGCTGAAACCTTGCAGAAGGCATCACAGCCTTTGGGAAATTCACCTTGAATAGAAAAGAACACAAGTTAACATCACCAATACCACTAGTACTGGTTCCAACTCAGTGTTTTGCGCAAGCAAATCACAAATCATTGATTAAAGTCATCTAGCCAGCTCATCGTGTACTCGTGTTTTTAGTTCACTTACGCTCCAGTAAACCTTAACAAAGTAATACAAGTAGGCAATGAATGCAGTTCCCAAAGATCAGCTACCTAAAGGCATTTAAGCGGCAATAACGACTCACCCCTCCTGTTAAGGTAGTCAGCCATGAGAGCAGCAATGTGCAGCTTGGCCATAGCCACCTCAGCCATATTCTTTGAGGCCAAATGCAACTCAG